ATAGTACACAGTGGAGTACTATAGATAGCGGCTCGGATTGCGGAATCGGAGAGCCGAGTTCGAATTCCACTCAAATCCATTACATTCACTTACGTGCTAATACCCTTGGGAAAGGTATGAATCCTCTTCTTCTCACCCAGCTATGGGTAAATAGAAGGATATACCGGGTTCTATAGCCTTGGATGGCAACTGGTCTACTGTAAAAAGAAATGGCAACCTACTGCGGGAAAAAATCTGCCTCGTCAATCATGTATCGAAAGATGCATGATCGCCTAAGCATGGCACATAACTGACTGCCTACATAAATTGGAAAGTAGGTCTCATCATTTTACAGTGAAAATGGCTAGATGTAACCGTAAGTTCTATGCTAACAGATTCTTCTCTCACACGTCTCGCTTGCGAAACTCACTTCCGGCTTCTTGCTTTCCAAGCAAGTTTGATCTTCAAAAATTTAAATACAATGTCAATGGTTATCTACTGATTCCTTAATTCCTGTTCTTTTATTGTTGTCTCTCCTTAATACTCTTTTTCTTTTTATCATATTCCCTAATACTCAGTAAGACCCTTGCGTCTTAGTGCCTTCATCGCCTTGCTTGGGGTGAAATGATTTAGAAAATTCTATATTATATCTATAAGTATCTAAATCATACATATAATAGCAATATTCTGTTACACAGATCCTGGTCTTCAGCGTATTTTCATAGGAAAAGCAAAATTCATTTACCTAATAGGCACAATAGCCCCATTCAAAGACACATTAACATATAAGTTAGATATATATCTATATCAATGTCTGCTTCTGTAGGTCATATTCACCCATTTAAGATATAAATATCGAGAAATATTTTTCTGAGTGTGTATGCGTCTGTGTACTAGTGTGAGGGGGAACGTTAATTTTATTTGTTACTGTTATATAGGAATAAAGTGTCGCTGCCGACACTTGAGTTTGAACATAGATCGCCAGTGAGCGAATACAGGCGATACCATTATTGAATTAAGTAGACCACGTGACCATAGAAGAAATGCATAAGTAGGTTGTTGCATGACGTCTAATTGATCTCCATTTCTACCCTATCCTCTGTTACTATACGGATCACCATTTCTACTCAATCCTCTATTGCTATACGGACCGCTATTCTCTACTCTTTTCACTATATTATTTCTCTATTCAGATCCCTATACAGGTTACTTGTCGAGCGACTATTATCAAGCAAGTATTATTAGTGCGAGATTATTTGAAGGCGTCAGACATCAGTATTGTTCAACGGCGTACTATAGTTGTATCTGCGATTACAAAGTCTCTACTACAACGAGCATTATGAAAATGATAACATGTATTCGTTGGCATCACAAAAATTACTATTAACGCTCGATCTCTTGATATCTAGCACTGTAATTACTAAGATAGTTTGCCTTAAAATGTTAAAAACAAACACTAGTCTATATCTTTCTTTCTTTTTTGGTATATATATATATATATATATATATATATATATATATATATAAAAGTGTGCTATATTTTGTGTAAAGTGTGTTATATTTTGGGTAAAAATGCTCAATATGACACAGTACTCTACTACAAACTAATACCATAAACAGTTTGAAAAATCCTGCGAATTTTAAAATTAAAATTCGGAGGTGAAAATGTTCATTAACTAAAGATATCGTAATTCCAATTCTAAAAGTATATATATATATATATATATATATATATATATATAAAATATTATTTGTTTAAAAATTATAACAAAAATATGTTATAAAATCACTACAAAAATAGCCATTTTGTTTTAACACCTCCGGTGTCTTATCAAGTGATGATGTTGAATGTAAAATAAATGGTTTTAAAAGTTTCAAAAAAATCCTCTTTGTTTATATATATATATATATATATATATATATACACTACCACTAAAAATGTATTTGGTGACCCTCAAAAATTTTTATTTCTTATTCTAAAAGTGTTATTTTTAATGTAACAAATTAAGCACCATAAGGGTTTTATTTATTATACTAAATACAAGTCTTCCTCAGTAACTTTGACTTTAGTATAAACCAGATATCTTTTGAAAAATTGACTTGAAGGTGATTTTCTTCTTTAGTACTGAGCATGAATAAAACATTTTCCAAAAGTTACATTATACCACCACTTGAACTCATATTAGACTATATTGTGTTGAATTACTGCTTGCTAGATACTACCTGTTTTACCTATGCTGCCAATGTACCTTACCCAGTAATGAAATCTGTTATTCTTATTTTGTTTAATGCCCAAAACACATGAACTTGCACTTGAACTATGGATAAATAGCAGAACAGATTGAGTCCTATAGCCTTGGGTGGCAACCGGTCTAGGAGAAGCACAACTCTAAATTCTTCTATGTGTTAAATAGCCTCACTAACCCGAAATTGGCTAAGCGTAGTAAGTACAGCTACATCCGTGAAGACGTGGTCAATCAGGAAGATGTCCCTTCATGGGGTGAGAAGGCTTTGGATCAGTTTTAGTGAGCTTTTATGATTGATACTTTATTATTATTATTATTATTATTATTATTCAATATCAGGAGTAAAGTGTTTATAGATAGTCAATGTGAACATAGAAGTCAACACTGGAAGGTGGCTGTCAGTTTTATGCCTCATTGCGTTTTTTCTTATATATATATATATATATATATATATATATATATATATATATATATATGCACAGTACTTATTGGAAAGTGCTCAATAGTGATAGAGCTAATATATCCATTTGTATGGATATGAGTTTGTGATCCTGAATTTCACGCTTTTGCGATCATCGGAGTTTGTCTGATGATCGCAAAAACGTGAAACCCAGGGTCACAAACTCATATCTATACAAATGAATGTATAAACACACACATATAGATATATATTTTAAGACATTTTTATCTTTATACAGTCTTTTTATAGATACAAATACTTAAGTAAATGCTCTGTTTATAATAAACAGTATTAACAACATTTATCGGCCTGAATGTCCGAGAAATTTTCATAGAAAATATACGTCCCCTGTATCCTATACGGAACTGTCATATAGGCTGACGTGCCTTAACCGATTGGGCCACAGAGAATCGTTCTATTAGCAAGGTAGATTTTACTGTTTTTAAACTACAATCTTCCATGATTCTCTCACATACATTCTTATCTGCTCAATGCGTATCCAAATGTAAACAAATGACGTCACACATTATGAATAATGTGGGACGTCATTTGTTTCGACCTTTGGTTTCTTGTATATAGTTTTGTTTCACATTTGTAAATATTTATTGGAGTTTACATTTTTAAAAATTGTTATTTTATTCCCCGTCTACCCCTGACAATGAACTGTACATATGGGAACTAGTTAGGACTTTCATTGAGACAATGATGTATTATGGTGGATGTAGTAAGTTAGGTAAGACTGCGTTGTTTTGCTGTAAGGAATATTGAGGTATGTTTTGGTCAGTGTTTGTGGCTTGATAAGTTTAATGTTAAAAGAGAAGAAGGTCGTCCTTTTCCCCGTTCTCCGTTTTGGCCTTGTACCACATTTTGTAAATTTTACAGATAAATAATACTCTTCCAGAACATCACTGACGACGCCCTCTAGCGCTAAAAGAGCGTATATTCAAAGCAGTTTTTCCTGTCAAGACAGTGACGTCCGGGAAAGGCCGGATGACTACTAGGAATAGACTAGATGACAAATTGGAAAGACAATTGACGGTGAGAAGTGACCACAATTTAAAGCATTCCTGGGCTAGCTACCCGGTATGCAGATCAAAATCTGGCTACAAACAGAAATAAGAATAAATACTCCCAAGGGATCCCGAGAGGGGGGGGGGAGAATGAGATCCCAATTAGGACGGATCAACCGGAGCCTCACACCCACGGACAACGATTATGACTTGCCCATGCGGGAAAAAATGCAAGAATAAACGCGGCCTAAAAATCCATCAAGCCAAAATGAAATGTCAAATGGAAACTAGCCAGTTGCAGCGCACAGGAAATTCTCCTGATGAGACGCAGGAAATACAGGGCCGGGAAGCTCACCACAGAGCCCAGTTCTTCCAAGCAGAGGCACAAGTATCCCCAGATTTACCATCAGAGACATTTCGGAAAAAGATCAAATGGCCTGCGGCCGTAGATAAAAAAAAGCTTGGCACGGCTTCGATTTAGACATCAGCGAAATACTACGGCTTAAATAGATTTCGCACCGTTGCGATTGGCTGTTGGTCAATCTCCAATCAAATGTGTGATAACGGGGTATATTTATAGAAGTCAGTGTCTACAAGCATTTTTTTAGAGGGCGTTTCAAAATCTGATCAGCTCTGAGGGGGGTCGATTTGGTTGAGGTCAGTATGAGAGTTTGAAAAAGACCCGAAACTGCCCAATGATCCATTTCCAGAACATCACTGACGACGCCCTCTGGCGCTAAAGAGCGTATATTTAAAGTCGCTATTGTGCCTATTCTCTTCGAATTTAAAGGCAGTACTAAACTGGTGACGAGGTCTCACCAATTTACAGTTGAATTGGTTAGATGGAACGGTAAATTCTATGCTAACAGTTTCTTTTTTTTTTTTTTCGCATTTCTCGTTTGTCGAACTCCCTTCCGTCTCCGGCTCCAACTTTAATCTGCCAAAAATTAAATGCAATGTAAATCGCTATCTACTCTCCTCCCGATTACTCATCCTCTGTTCCTACTCCTTAGCAATGTTCGTGTTTCTAACTTTTCCACATCTATTAGGCCCTTGCGTCTCAGTGGCTTTAATGCCTTGCTTGGGGTGAACGCGAATAAAATATATAATATATATATACACGAAGAAATACCGAAATGCCCTTCCCAAAATGTCTGTTGGCCAGATTTTGAAAAGCGGATCGGATCGAGAATTTTTCAACAATCTTCGTATATATATATATATATATATATATAGTCACTGTATTCTAGTCTGGAACTTGCCCAAAGTTAATTGGGTATTTAGTAAGAATCGGTCTCGCTGCATATGCAAATTGATATAGGATTGGATAATTTTTCTGACCATCAATCTATGTTAAACGTCGTCCTGGATGCCCGTACTTCTATCTATCTATCTATCTATGTTGGTTCATTATCTATCTCTTTCCATATTTCATTCTGTTCATATCTATCTATCTATCTATTTTTTTTTCCTTTTCTTTCTAAGGATCTTTCCGTTTACATCTATCTAACTACCTATCTATCTTTCTCTTTCATTCTATTCATATCTATCTCTGTATCTATCTATCTATCGATCGATCGATCTCCGACTGTTCATATCTATCTATCTATCTATCTATCTATCTATCTATCTATCTATCTATCTATCTCACTCTGTTCATATCTATCTATCTATCTATCTATCTATCTATCTGAGTTGGTTCATTAAATATCTATCTCATTCTTTTGAAATTTCATCTGTTCATATCTATCTATCTATCTGTCTATTTTTACTTTTTTTTTCTAAGAATCTTTCCATTTACATCTATCTACCTACCTATCTATCTATCTATCTATCTATCTATCTGAGTTCATTAAATATCTATCTCATTCTTTTCATATTTCATTCTGTTCATATTTCTCTATCTATCGATCGATAGATCGATCTCCGACTGTTCATATCTATCTATCTATCTATCTATCTATCTATCTATCTGTCTGTCTGAATAGATAGATAGATAGATAGATAGATAGATAGATAGATAGATAGATAAACACGCCTGTACGTACACATACAAACGATGAAGGAGAAAAAAAAAGCTCAGGCATACGTCTCGACAATATTTAAGGCACGACTGCATTGACGTAGGCCGTAATTTTAAAGAACTGAAACCGAAATTCCTTGCATGCGTAATCTTGATAAAAAAAAATTAGGGGGTCGAGTTGGAATGGTGGTGGTTCTTCGGATGAGTAGCACACAAATTGGCTCTAATGTTACCCGTTGTTGGGCGGAGATATCTATTTTCAAATATTCACATACGCACACATCAAAACATGTGTGCGATTATACTTGTGTGTGTGCAAAAAATGCATTGGAACGCCAGAATACATACGCATGTGTGCGGGCACATGCCTTTTTGTGCAAAATCATATGTACACCCGAAGATTATCGGGTGGGTACCTATGTATGAGTAGACTCCCTGTTTTTTAAGTAATGTAAATTACGTCTACCGGCTTAGGCATTCAAGAGACTTAATAAAGATATTGTGCACTCGGGCTGAGGTCTAATTTGCGTATTTCTTTGCAATAGAAACCAACTCCTGATCCAGCGTTCCTGGCTAAAACTCATCGAGATCCATCCGAAAACACCCACACATTCTGGATTCCCCCCAAACTACATGCATACACGTACGCACACACACACATATATATATATATATATATATATATATATATATATATATATATATATTAGGTATGTCTGATGAAATAAATTACAAATATTATATCTCCTCACTTTCTTACTTTTATCATAATCCTTTCATATTCACAAATATTTTTTCCTTATATTACAATTAAATAAGAAAAGCAAAGTACTTTCCATAAAAAGTATTTTGGGAAATAAAAGTGATTCTCACAGTGCATTTCTTGCCTTATTGAATTGTAATATATGGAAAAAAATATTCGTGAATATAAAAGGATTATGATAAAAATAAGAATAATGTTTGTAATTTATTCAGTCGACAGGCTTAAAAAGAATTTGTTTAAATATATTATATATATATATATATATATATATATATATGATTAATACAATTAAAAAAGAGAATTTGCTGCCTAAATATATAAATATAAATATATATATATATATATATATATATATATATATATATATATGGTTATTCAAATATATGATGGATATATTCAACTCCTCTACAGAGTTTATAGACGAAACTTTGTGTAATCGTTCAGTTCACTCGTCAGCAGATAAAATTTTCATTTTCATTATTTTTATATTAAGTAAAAAAAAAGTAATATAAATTTTTCTTCTTTGTCTGTGTGTGTGCGCTCGCGCGTCTGTATGAAATATATATATATATATATATAAAGAAATATAGTCTTATATATTTATGGGATAAGTGCTCAATATCAGAGATAGAGCGTGTAAATATAAAAGTGAACATAAAGTCAAATATGCAATCGTCAGGCCACGTGTGCTGTTATTTTTCTCGGCTATTTATATATATATACGGGTTAGTGGTGCATTGTGGGTATTCTATTATGGCGGTTATTTTTTACCGGAAGTCGCTTTGTTCATTTATTTGGGTCAAGTTATATTGCTCGTTTTTATTTATTTTTTATTTTATTTTATTTATTTTTTTTTTTTTTTTTTTTGTTTCTTATTTTATTTATTTATTTATTAACGTAGTAAAAATTTGTTTTATATCACGTATTTAACAGTTTTGTTTTTTTTGGTTTGAGAATTTAATTAAAGCTATTTGTTCAATTTTTGGGGTTGGTTGTTGTAGTTCATTCTAACTATTATTTTTTTGCAGGAACAGTTTTTTAATTTGGGATTGGTTTGCCTATTTATTTACTTGGATGAATTTAGGTCAATTTATTTTTATTTTCTCTTTTTGGTTTTCGGTTTTAAGCAAATAGTACTTATTTATTTATTTTATTTATTTATTTATTTTTTTTTTTATTTATTATTATTATTGTATTTGTTTTATTTTATTTTAATTAAATTCTCAAACCAAAACAAAACTGTTAAATACGTGATATAAACAAATTTTTACTACGTTAATAAATAAATAAATAAAATAAAAAAAAAAACAAAAATAAATAAATAAATAAATAAAATAAAATAAAAATAAATAAAAAACGAGCAATATAACTATAAATAAATAACAAAAGCGACTTCCGTAAAAATAACCGCCATAATAGAATACCCACAATGCACCACTAACCCGTATATATATAAATAGCCGGAAAAATAACAGCACAATGACGATTGCATATAGCATGAAACAGACTTCGCCTCTAAGTGTTGACTTTATGTTTCACTTTATATATATATATATATATATATATATATATATATATATATATATATATCATCAGTTCGGACAATTTTTCTTTTTTCCTAGCAGTTTTAACATAAATCGTGTAATGTCTTCTGAAAGTTTTGAGATTTCATAAACCATTATTAAAAAGATTTTGTATGTTCATAAGGTTTATTACTTAGAAACAGCCAACCATTTTCTTTGAAACGACGCTGTAAATGGGAAATGGTTTCATATCTCTTTCTTATGCACTTTTAATTTTGCCCAATTATAATGAAGAATTCGTAAAAAGTGCAGGAGACTTTGCATAATATGTATTTGCTTGGAAGGAAAATTCTCGCGTTTTTTAAAATAATTCAATGTTCTACAAATCGCGAGAACTTTCCTTCCAACCGGGTCTAAATATTCATCGACTACATGCCAATCTTATGATATTGTAATACTTTTATGAATTTTACCGGCTTTTCCAAGTTTCACATTATTGAGTTACTGAAACTCCATAAAGCGTGATGTTACAATTTAAAATCATAATTGCATAACAAAGACAATTGTTTTAAAAGCAAAATGTCTTTATAAATTTGAGGTCATTACAGACACGATAGACTAAAAGGAATCCAACATTATAAATATAAAAGTAATGACTAATTCTGGAACTAGTTTTAGGTGTTCGTTCATTTTGTGGACTGTTGTATTTATTCTTTAACAAACAGCGCTCAGAATATCATTGCAAATTTCATCTTTTGTGTTAATTTGCCGTCTGCCAATTTAAACCGCACTCTTCAGAATTCTCTCCAAATTTTCTGTCTGCTCACGGCTAAGCTAACATGGCTGCCACTTCAGTAAAATTGTATTCTTGAAAACTATTCTATTCAGATTCTTCTTTTTTTAATTTCATCCCCCCGCCCATAATGATATGAAGAATAGTCGGACATCGAAAACAACTTTGAATGTGGTCAGCCTTTTAATTAATGGCCTCCACGTGTGCCTTCAAAAATTAATGTGTTTCCTAGTCGCTCCCAGAAATTTCTCTATAATCCCACGCAGAACACCACACCGCACCTCAGCCAGCAAGGGACACCTTGGCGTGTTGTAATGGCAAGAAAACCTGTCTCGCTAGATCAATTACGACTGAGTAGTGAGTTCGATCCTCACTGGGTGCTCCATACTTGCGGCCTCATGCTAAGGCTACGCTTAGTAAATCACTATAGAAACCAACCAATATATATATATATATATATATATATATATATATATATATATATATATATATATATATATATATATAGAGAGAGAGAGAGAGAGAGAGAGAGAGAGAGAGATTATAATAGAAATTCTTATATAAACGAATCACGAGACTTCGACGTGGTGCACTGGCTAGCAAGTTTGTCTCTCTAGATCAATTACGACTGAATAAGGAGTTCGATCCTCATTGGGTGCGCCATACTCTCGGCCTTTTGCCACATCTAAGATATGCTTAGAAAATCACCACATCTCAACCAGCAAGGGCAGTCGCCAGCCAATGTTTCCTCCACCCATCTACCCATTAGTGAGGAGCAGGGCATTATTTAGAAAAATGATCGGTCTCGATGTAATCTGTTGCCCATTTACATTTTGATTTTCCTTATGGACGTATTTTAAAGGCCTAATGATCTCAAATGTGTTCCTTTTGATTTAGTACCCGACATCTTGTACTTTCCGACATTCCCGTCATGCAACACCCCCACCCCCCAAATCTCTTCGCTTGACAAAGATGGATATTTTATGACTTTCCTACTGATGCGGAACACAGATTGGTGAGATAAAGTCCTCAACTTGCTCTTATCAGACCTGCATCAGAAGTCGTCTACGATCTTTAACCAAATTCTTCACTGTTCGAAAGTATCTGCCGATCATTTTTTATTTTTTTTAAATTTTCAACGTTGTTTTACTTTTACAAGTTCGGTGGGGGGGGTATTAAATATTTCGCTTTATCCGAAACATCCGCCTTACAGTTCATTTTAAAGCTTCAAACTTGCAGCATTGGAAATTCAGGATGTTTCATGAAAATGGCTTCTGTTTGTTTTCATCTGTATAGTAGAAACTGGTTCTCGTTCTGACTCCACACAAAGATGTCACCATAATTCAAAGATCCATAAAATTCCCACAATTATTTATATATCAATAAAATATGAAGAGAAAATACTGAGAGATAGAATATACACACGCACGCACGGACACACAGACACACACACGCGCGCACATACATACACACGCACATACATATATATTACCCTGAAGATCCGTTAGGTGAAACCTTGGTAGGTAGTTCCTGGTTCACTAGGTTTTTTATAGAGTGGAACCTCGGTTCACGAATTTAATTTATTCCTTAAGGCCGTTCGTAACCCGAAATGTTCGTAAACCGAAATTATTTTTCCAATAGGAATCAATGTAGAGAAGAAAAAGTTACAGTACAATGAAATTGGAAAAGAAAAACACACCCCAACAAACGAATGTATACAACACAGCTGTCGATTCAGAAATTATTCCGTTCGGGTTAACTCGATTCGGCAATGTTGTTCGAGAACCGAAGTGTTGTTCGATAAGCGAGGCATTTT